CTCCCCTTTAAATATCTTCAAATAAGAATAAAATTAAGGAATTTATGCTCAAGCCATAGGAAAGAAGCTTACATTTTTTTCATAATGGAAAGACGATTGGACCTAAGGTCGGAAGACGTAGTGTCATGTTTCAGGTATATCTTACTAGTTATGTTATATGCTGTAGAAATGTGAACACAAGAGAGAAAATGACTGGAAAGACCTTTTTCTGGAAGTTCTGGGCACAGTCTCTCTAGCAGAGTGTTTGGGACGGTGGTAGACCTGGAATGTCAGTTGGTTAAACTAGGCTATGTGGGAAGCCAGATTCTAATCACAGGGAGGGCTTGGGAAGTAAAGTCACAGCCAAGGAATGTGGGTGATTTTAGGGAAAGTCTCTCAGCTGAGATAGCTTGAAGGACTTCCCCACTATACGCACAGCCTTGCCAAAGGGACTGCACAGTCTGCTTTGGGTAGCAGAGGATTCTCATGGCCTCTGTCTGCTATTGGTTCCCAGTTCCTTATGCTTCCCTGACTGCCCCACGTACTTTTCAATGGACATACTCTCTCCCCACTTATGGCTAATTCATTGAAAAGGTTATGCTTGGCTGGTCTCCTTTGAGTGGCCATTTGTATATCTGTGCTGGGATCATTTAGACATTCATTTTATGGTTTCTCTCCCATTAATAGGTAATTATTTTTGCTTTAGACTCTATCAAAGGCAACATACATTTTCAATTGCTCTATATTGCTTATGAATAATACTAACCATGGCTAGTAGTTAATTAATGAACTAATTAATATATTTTTATTGATTTCAGAGAGGAAGGGAGAGGGAGAGAGATAGAAACGTCAATGATGAGAGAGAATCATTGATCGGCTGCCTCTTGTATGTCCCCCACTTGGGATCGAGCCTGCAACCCTAGCATGTGCCCTTGACTGGAATCAAACCCGGGATCTTTTAGTCCACAGGCCAGCGCTCTATCCATTGAGCCAAACTGGCTAGGTCATGGCTAATATTTATTAGTGTCCATCAATGCTGGGTACTGTGCTATGCACTTTGTATAAATTATCTCACTTAATTCTCAAAATAACACTGTAGGGGCATCTGCTATCCCCACGGTATAGATGAAGAACCTGAGAGTTGCAAAGGTTAAGGGACAGCCCAAGTGATGAAGACAGAATATGAACACAGGAGGTTCCATTTCAAGATCTTAACCACTTGATAGACAATTCTTTCTGCCATTCAGTGCCTGAGTTCTGAAGTCTGGCTTTATTATTATTATTTTTATGTTTTAGAGAGAGGAAGGGAGAAGGATAGAGAGATAGAAACATTGATGAGAGAGAGGAATATTACCGATTGGCTACCTCCTGCATGCCCCCTACTGGGGATCGGGCTGGCAACACGGACATGTGACCTGATGGGGAATTGAATCTGAGACCTCTTGGTTCCTGGGTCGATGCTCAACCACTGAGCCACACTGGCCGGACTGAAGTCTGGCTTTACAAATACCTCTGTGTGTGTGACCTGTGGGTGATCTGGGCGTTGTTGAATTCTTACTGGTTGAATTTTTTTTAATAGGCTTTATTTTTAAAAGTAATTTTACATTTACAGAAAAATTAAGATAGTACAGAGCTGTCATTTACTTGGCATCAGTTTCACCAATTACTAACATCCTACAGTATATGGTGTATTTGTTACATTTAATAAACCAATATTAATACATTACCATTAACTAAAATCTATATTTGCATTTCAATTGCAATTACATAAACAGTCAAAACAAAACTATTTATTTTGCTAGAAACCTACAAACTCAAATATATGTTGAAAATGAGTAATTGCCTATGCAGCTATGAGATAGGAAATAAGAAATGTGACTAAAAGGGAATAAAATAAATGAAATAAGAGCTTTTCAGGGGCTGATAGCTGGTTACAAACTGAAAAGTACGATGAACTAACTCAGGTATATAAAAAAAGGAAGAGGTTGAAGTGAGAACGACTTTAGGGTAAGGGGCTATCATACTCATTTAGCTGAGTCCCATAGGAAAAGGGAATGAAATTTAGGTTATGAATTATTAGCATCTTAGTGGGCATGTCCATTTCCTCCATCTTCTCTCCCCCCCCCTCTTTAATTAAGTACAAGACTCTCCTAATCATGTCACATCAGCTCATTTCACCAACGGTTTGGCCGCCAGTCTCTTATCTCTCTCTTCAGCAATGGTGAGGTGAATACCCTTTCCATGGGGAAGGGAAATCCATGGTTTGTTGCCTTTGCCGATAACAAAAATGTTGGAGAACGGGGTGGCAAAGCTATTGCCAGTGGCATATTTGACATGAACTATGATATCAAAAGAACCAGGGTGTTTCTCTCTGTTGGTGATCACACCAATTCTTCCCAGATTGGCACCTCCGGTGATCATACACAGCTTACCAGTGTCAAACTTGATGAAATCAGTAATTTTGCCAGATTCCAAATCAATCTGAATGGTGTTCACCTTGATGAGGGGCTCAGGGTAGCACATGGTACGAGCATCCTGGGTCACCAGATGAGGGATTCCCTTTGTGCCCACAAAGATCTTCCTCACTTTCACAGCTTGTACTTGGCCTCCTCAGGTGTGATGCGGTGAACAGCAAAGCGACCCTTGGTGTCGTAGACCAGACGGAAATTCTCTCCTGTCTTATCAATGCTGATGACATCCATAAACCAGCAGGGTAGGTTACATCGGTTCGGACCTTGCCATTGATCTCAATGAACCGCTGCATGGAGATCTTCTTTACTTCATCTCCTGTCAGGGCATACTGAAGTCTGTTTCTTAGGAAAATGATGAGAGGAAGACATTCTCTCAGCTTGTGGGGACCGGTAGATGGACGAGGAGCAAATACCCCGGTCAGTCAGTTTATCCAGCATCCAATGCTTTGGAGCTCCTACACGCTTCAGATGTTTCTTGGGACCATGAGCCATGGCTGCAGTAGGCATGGAAAGAGGACTCTCTTCTTGCTAGTGAAAATGAAATGAAGTTTATGAAAAGAAAGTAGCCGCCCTCCGTGCCTCGGGATGGTGTCTCACACAGTGGCGTCTGACGCCCTCAAAGGTTGAGGTTTTGTCATTAGAATGCCAAATGCTAATGGAGTCACAAGAGTGCAGATTTTATAACTGCCCTTTCAATGAAATGATGTTGCTTGGGTTTTATATTTTATGTTGTACTTAATACAATAGCAATTTTTTTAAGTTGTAAGGAAATATCTGAAAACATTCAGGTCAATAGACCCTGGTGAGGAAATGCTCTTAAACACAATGAATGGCTCACTTATAAAATAGTCTCCACAATCAAACTGGTAGGAATACAGGAAGAACCCAGCAAGAGTTTGGAATCGTCATATTATAATAACGCTAGCCCCGGTTTATTGAGCACTTACTTTGTATCAGACGTTGTATTAAGCGCTATATGTATATTAACTCACGTAATCATCGAGAAACCTATGAGGCAGGCACTCTTTTTATCTTCATTTTACAAATGAAGAAATTGGGGCCCAGAAAGGTGAAGTAACTTGGTCTCACAGCTAGTTCAGTGGAGCCAGGGTTTGAACCCAGACACCCTGGCTTTCCTTCTTGACCCTGGGGCTCTCCTTAGTGATTATGGTGGCCCTTGTACTTGACACTCTGTCATCTATTACAGAGCCTTTTCTTTTTGTGCACTTGACTTCTTTGGGGTCTCCTTCAGGCCAGTCTTCCCTAGAAATAGAAAACACGGTGATTGGCCCTGACCCCGGCATTGGGAATAGCTATAGGAAAGCTCAGTCCCTATGATTTATGACACGTATCTTAGAGTGCTGAGCAGGAAGTTTTTGTGCTTGATGAAATCTTTCACATCTTTAAATCTCATGATCGGTGATAGAGAGATATAATAAGATAAGCACTTTGTTTCAAAGGGAGTTAAAACTGTTTAATATAAATGTAGCCTAAGGAGGACTTCTCTACATGATCAAAAGATGCATATAATGGGTCCTATTTGAATTCCTGGAGGTTTAATGCTGCTGCTGATAGCTTACATTTGTAGAGCACCCTGGGCCAGGCAGTATTCTCTGCAGAATGCAGATATTAACTTATTTACAGTGAGCCCAGGGCAGTCAGCCCAGCTTTTAAGGTGTCAAAAATGGGAGACGTGAGCCCTTCAGGAATTTTCAGGAAGTGGTACCCAGGAATGGTCAGTGGGAGGGTGGGTGGTGAGATGGGCCCTTGGAGCCTACTGCTTCCCGGCTGTGTAAAGTGTGCAACTTAACCTCCCCCATGCTGATTCTTCATGCGTATTGTGTGTCAGCAGTTCTGCCTACCATAAAGGGGTTTTGGGAGAATTATTTAGTGAGATAGTTTACGAGATAATACATACACATAAATGCATGCACAAAGTACACGACCCAGCTGGATAAATGTGAGTCGCTTGTGTTATCACTATCATTATGGCCATGGCCGCTCTGATGATTTGGGGCTAGAGAAAGTATCACTTTCTTTCTACTACTAACTATGGTTTACTGAACGCTTTGGGTCTGCTCCTTGGGGCAATTCCCAGCTCAGCAGTTAGAATTCAGCGGAGGGACTACTGCACAGGGAGCCCGCGGGACCACTGCCTTCCCTGCTTTCCGGTGGGAAGGAGTCAAGGAGGGATGGAGCGTAGCGGAGACCCGAGGACAGAGATGAGAGAGGCCACAAGAGGAGAGATAATTCCGGGCAAAAAAGAACCCGAGCCTGACGCGCGAGCGCTCTGCAAGTCTCGGACTTGGATAGAATCATTTTACTTTCCAACACTGACCGCAAGGCGCCCGCCCGCGGGGCCGGGCTGTGCGATTGCCCCACTCCCCATCCCGCTCCCCTCCACACCCCACGCCGGACCCCGGCCGGCGATTGGCCGGCTCGACCCAGGGCCGTCACCGATTGGCGCTCCGGGCCCGGGCCCCGGGGTTTAAAGAGGGGGGGCGGGGGCGCGCTGCCCAGCCGCACTCCAGTCCGCGTGGCGCACGGGTCGCTGTCCCAGCCGTGCGCTCCCTGTCGCGCCGTCGGAGCTGGGCTCGCAGCCTCTCGCGGCCTGACACCGCCTCCAGCGGCCCGCAGCTGGCCGTCGAGGGCCAGCGGCTGGCGAGCGCGGGGATCAGGGGAGGACCAGGGTGGGCGCCGTCCAGCCTCGGGCGCGGGGCACAGCTAGCGAGGGGCGAGGCGCGGGGACGCCGGGGTGGCTGCGATGGTGGCCACGTGCCTGCAGGTTGTGGGCTTCGTCACGAGCTTCGTGGGTTGGATCGGGATCATCGTCACCACGTCCACCAATGACTGGGTGGTGACTTGCGGCTACACCATCCCGACGTGCCGCAAGCTGGACGAGCTGGGCTCCAAGGGGCTGTGGGCGGACTGCGTCATGGCCACGGGGCTGTACCACTGCAAGCCCCTGGTGGACATCCTCATCCTGCCGGGTAAGGACCCCCGCCTTGCGAGTGGCTGGCCCCAAACCCTCACCCCCTGGGCAGACTGGGGGGGGGGGGGCGCTAGACAAAACATTTTGAGGGCTTCAAGCCTATTGGGCCTATTTTGACACCTTGAGTCCCACCTTGCTGTAGTGTGGAACAGGCAGCGGTGAACTTAACCTCTCAGCCTCAGCTCTCGTATCTGGAATTGGGGAAGAGAGGGGTGGCCACTGGCCGAGTCCCCCTGGGAAGTGAATGGCCTGAGACGGAGACACATAGTAGAAACTGAGCCCAGGTTCATTACCGCCTCCTCGTCCGCCCCACGCTCCCACTGTCGACTGAGCAGCAGTGCTTCACTTCCCGGCCAGGCCTCCTCCCCAGGGGCCCTGCTTTCCCGTTAGATTCTATCCGCAGAGGCCAGATGGAGACAGAGAGAGGCAACCATTCCAGCGAGTTTCCCTGTCCTCGTGGGACGGACGACGCGCTCTGGCAAGTTAGGGCCACTGGCTTCGCTAGGTCGGTTCCCGCAGGCCCCGGAGCCCGTCTCACCTCCCCAGCCCGTGCCCCCGCCGTGGGGCGTCCGTCTGCCCAGCTCAGCCTCCCGCTGCGCACCGCTCCCGCGCGCTCGGGGCGCATAGGTGAGAGCCGGCGCCCCTGGAGGGCCACTGTGCTCCCTCCCGGCAAAGCCCGCCGCCCTGGGTCGCCCCCTCCCGGCCAGCGGGATCTCGGAACGGGGAGAGGAGGGAGTGACACCGGCCTGGGGTCCCATCGCCACTTGCAGCCTGGTTGGCAAAGTCCGGGCAACAGTTCCAATCCAGATTTAAACCCTGAGCCAGCTGGGTGATTGGCGAGGTCGCGGGCGCCCCTTCTGGGTTTTGCTCTGAATCTCTGTCCTGCCTGGCGGGTGTATGGGCCCTGGCCAATAGAACAGGATTGTCTTATGTCCCGCGGGCCTCGTGCTCATTCAAAGGGCAAAAGGCTATCCCAATGTCCTCAGCAAGCGAAGTAATCGGCCCACGGCCGCCAGTGTGGGAGCCCGGTGTGTGTGTGTGTGTGTGTGTGTGTGTGTGTGTGTGTTTTTTCTCTTTGAGCCTTTCTGATGACCCTTGAAGCCTCCTTTAAGTGCCTCCTATATTAGTCCTTGTCGTCGGAATCAACCGCCGCCCCCCTTCCTCCTTGCTGCTCTGGTTTTTGGTCCTTACCCCATCCGGGCACATTTTGACTTGATTTTTGCTCATGTTTCTAAGTCCCTGTCTCCTACTGCATTTGGAATTCCCGAAGGTATAAGCGACCTCCTACTTTCTTTGCGTCCCCTCCTGGAACCAGCATTGCTCTGGCACGCAGCAGGCATGCACAATGCATGCCAGCCCTCCATTCACTTCCCTTTTCTCCATTTTGGGCTTTTGGAATGACAGAGTTCCCGGGAACCCAGGTGTGGACCCAGCTCCACTTCCTGCTGGTGTAGGTCGACCTTGGTCATATTCCGATCCTGTGCTGGATCCCGTGCTCACAGTCTGGGTGATCTGAACAAGTGACTAACCTCTGAGAATCCCAGTTGTCTTCTTTAAAAATTAAAATCAAACCAACCCCCTATCTTTCAGGGTTGCTTTGGGGATTAAATAAAATGAGAAATGTAAAAGTCTTTTGATAGAGTAGATGCTCCATAAAAGGTAGCTGTAATTTTTTGTTAAGCGCTGGGCAAGATATTTGTAGGAACCTTTGAAGCATAAAATTATTCCCTGCTTCCCCTCCCTGAAGTTCAGTTTACTAACAGTCAGTGCTGAGTGGTTTATTTTCAAAGAACATAGACCCTCTGACAGAGGGGAGTGCATTTTAGGGAGGGCTTCATCCTCCCTGCTCTCCCTGTCCCTTGTACTTTGGGTGGGGACAGGGACAGAGCTCAGTCTCCATCTTTGATTTCCAGACATGGCCTTGGCACCTAGCATGCGGACAGCCTGCGTCATGAATTTCAGAACCTCAGTTTCTAGTTGAATGTCTCCATTGTGTCAGCCCCGGCTCTCCTACAAGCGGGGGAGGGGGGGGAGGGGCATAGGGCTGTGGTCAGAGGTCCTACCTCAAACTTCCTGTGGGTCCTCTCTGGGGATGTTCAAGTCAATAGATATTTGGTTTATTGGTTACCTTTAATTCATAAGAAGCTGGGATGGACAATGGTCCGAAGCGTTCCCTTGTGGAGTCTGAATTCTGGCAGGGCATATCCTGCTGAGAGACAGTGTTGCAGCTGCATCTTGGGGCACAGGGCAGGTGGCCAGATTTGGTCTGAGGGTCCGGGCAAGTGAGGCGGAAGTTGGGGCTCGCTATTTGCTCTGAGCCAAAAAGAGAGTAATGAATACTTTTTTTTTTTTTTAAGGAGGGAGAGTGTCTTAATGAGAAACAATATATTTAAGTTTGTCAGCTTCTTCCAGTATCTTGTCAGACCTATTTTACATGAATATTGCACAGATTGTAATCTGTTTCTTAATAAAGTTGTTACCTGGCATTTTATATGACAGTATAAAGCCCTGGTAGTTTTGCTCCTCTCTTATTACTCAACTCAGGTATTCTTTCATTTATAACTGTATGTTTACATCATCTGTTGTGGGCACTGTGTCTGCCCTCTAGGAATCCTTGGGTCTGGAGGGATGCCTTTAAAGCAATGATGATGGAGTAATAACACCAATTAATCATAGCTAACCGTTTTAGCTCACTTAGCATGTGCTAGGCACTGTTCTAAGCACTGCGTGAATTAACTAACTTAATCTTAGCTGAATTCTTTTAGAAAAATGTAGGTACTATTACTATTTTCACTCTATAAATGAGGACACAGTAACTTGCCCAAGGTCATACAGGTTGAGTGTATCAACAAGACACTGGAACCAATAGCCCATCCCTCACAGAAGGCTTTTTGGAAGATTTGAGTTTTATTCTGAGTCGTTCACAAGGTGATATAACAATTGGACTCTGGGCCCCTTCATCCTGGAAGCTTGGACAAGTGGCCTAAACTGGGGATCCCCATTCAGTCTCTCCAGCCCTCAACCTCCCTTTTTTTTGGTCATCGAATCACTTTAAAAGTTGAACATGTGACGTGGTCATGGACAACATGTAACACCTTCTAAGTCCTGGAATGGGCAAGAGGGAGGAAGGCAAGTGGTACCGAATTCCCGAGAGGCAGGATTCAGGATCCAAGGGCTCCCTTGGTCTAACCCGCCCTGTCTGCTCTCTTGCTTGTAGGTTACGTGCAGGCCTGCCGAGCCCTGATGATCGCAGCCTCAGTCCTGGGCCTGCCGGCCATTCTCCTGCTGCTGACAGTTCTCCCCTGCATCCGCATGGGCCATGAGCCTGGCGTGGCCAAGTACAGGCGGGCCCAGCTGGCTGGGGTTCTGCTCATTCTGCTGGGTAAGAGCTTTCTCTATGGCACCCAACTCTGAGGAAACGTGATGAATGCCAGATCTTCCTGTTGCTTCATCCAGTTTGAGGTGCAGGAAAGAAAGCCAATGACTCCTCTGTGGAATAGAACCCCCTCAATGTGTATTTCTTTATGTTTCATGGGGATAAGTCCTATCTATGATGGGGGCGGGAGGGGGGAGAGGCAGAGGTCACTGAACATGAACATAAGTTAACAAACAAAAGGCAAAGAAGGATTTTAAGGGCAGGAAATACCTAAGGAAAAGACCAGAGGACAGAAAAGAGTTACACAGTGGCTCTTCAGTCAGACTTCACAAGGGAATTCCGTTTTGAAAATACCTGTGCCCAGGTCCCATGGCAGGTTCGTTGACTCAGAATTTCTGGGTATAAAGCCAGACAAAGATGTTTTATGAAATCCTAACTACCTGTAAGGTGACTCTTACCTGGAGTTAAGATTGAGAACTTCAGTTAATGTACAAAGAAAGAATAGAGAAAGAGGAGGGCGATAGAAAAGTAAGATGTTGCCCTAGCTCTGTGGTTGGCAAACCGCAGCTCGCAAGCCACATGCGGCTCTTTGGCCCCTTGAGTGTGGCTCTTCCACAAAATACCATGTGTGGGCGCACACATACAGTGCGACTGAAACTTCGTGGCCCATGTGCAGAAGTCGGTATTTTGTGGAAGAGCCGGTATTTTGTGGAAGAGCCACACACAAGGGGCCAAAGAGCCGCATGTGGCTCTCGAGCAGCGGTTTGCTGAGCCACAGTTTACCAACCACTGCCCTAGCTGGTTTGGCTCAGTGAATAGAGTGTCGACCTGTGGACTGAAGGGTCCCCGGTTCGATTCCAGTCAAGGGCACATGCCCAGGTTGTAGGCTCGATCCCCAGTGGGGGTGTGCAGGTGGCAGCCAATCAATGATTCTCTCTCATCATGGATGTTTCTATCTTTCTCTCCCTTTTCCTTCCTCTCTGAAATCAGTAAAAATATATTTAAAAGAGAAAGAAAAGATGTCGAGAGTGGTAGATCACTAGGTGATAATTCACTCTTTTATTCATCGAGCACCCGCTGCTGGGGCTCATTGGAAACAATGTCAGTCTCTGCTTTGCGATTACCCAGACATCTTGATAGAGTGTGGCATGTGCTCATCTTAAAGGGCTGCACACACTGTGCACACACATTGGAAGACACCTAAGCCAGACCAGAGGCTATCCCGGAGTAGAGGAAGCCAGCGATGGGTTTTGAGAGTTGGAGAGAAGGTGGATTGGAGGGAGGGACAATCCTTGCCCAGGAAATGGCCTGTGCTTGTTCAGCTTTGCTGATTACTCCCACACACAGAGGGCCTGACTTAAGCACCAAGGGAGGGTCTTTCTAGCTCCATTCTCTCCAGTGATTTCATTTCTCTCCATTTTTTCCTGGAATGCTAATTTCATTAACACATTCTAAATCCTAATAGAAGACATGAATTTTAAGAACTCTTGTAAAGTGGACTGATAGATACATCATTGAGGAGAAACTGATGTGCTTATGGGTTAGATATACAGTCAAGGTCTCCTTGGACAAGGACTTCCTGTCCCCAAACTGGTATCAGACTATGTGCTTGAGGGGTAAGGGTGAGAGAACAGGGTTCTGTCTGGGTCATTGCCACTTAGTGACGGTCACCCACAGTGACACCGGTGAGATGAGGGGACATGAGAGGTAGGGGCACCTCTTCACAAGATGGCAAAGGGGTGGAGGTTTTCAGTGGCTTGTGAAGCACAGAGAATTCCGAGGAGGTGTGTGTGTGTGTGTGTGTGTGTGTGTGTGTGTGTGTGTGTGTGTTAACAGGAGTGAAAAGACCAGAATGCCACTGTGATTTTCAGAGGAGAATCTGGGCATGGACATTTTGGTTGTAGCCACGAAGAATGTGTGGGAGTGACACATCAAACATACAATCAGTACCAAGTGCTTCATCTAACTCACAGGGGTACTTTTAAAAAATATTTTTTTATTGATTTAGAGAGAGAGGAAGGTAGAGTGAGGGAGGGAGGGAGGGAGGAAAGAGAGAGAGAGAGAGAGAGAGAGAGAGAGAGAGAGAGAGAGAGAGAGAGAAACACATTGATCAGCTGCCTCCTGCAGCCCCACTTCCTCCCCACCTAGGGGATGCAGCCTGAAAGCCTGGGCATCTGGGCATGTGCTCTGACCAGGAATCCAAGCGGTGCAGTGCATAGGACCGCGCTCAGCTGACTGTCACACTGGCCAGGGCCACAGGGATCCTTTTTGACAGTCAGATCTTTGTATCTGAATTCCCTTTCCGACAGGTAGACCACAGAAAGCTGTACAAGTAAACTGGTCTGTAGAACCCAGAAGAAACCCTTCTCATCCTAGACATTTGCCCGTGTCTGTGACTTTCCTCATTCTCACAGAGGTCCGGGAGGCTCTCTCTTGGGCCCTGAGGATGCAGAGCCAAAGCTGGGTCCGTTGTGTTAGGGGTTCATTTTAGCAATCCTGGCCTTCCATGTAAGTGTCGCACAATATCCACCAGTAAGGGAACACATTAAAAACCCCCAAAACCAAACACAAACCCTGTGGAAAATAAAGACAGAAAAGCAAAGCACACATAGACGCGTTGGTATTTTATAAAATCGCTAAAAAAAACCTGAATGGTCCAGTTGAATAAGAAGGGTTATTTGAAAAAATAACAACCAGTTGTTTGAAACTTTCTTTTTCAAATGGGGTGGGGGATGTATCCAGAATCGTAGAAAGGAAAGCGAGGTGAGGCTGAGTAGTGATGTGAGTTCCTCAGTCTGTTCGCTGCGGATGGAGGAGGTGTTGAGACATCGGAACCCCAGGGAGCCCTGGCTGCTAGGACTGGAGGGAGGGTACCATCGCTCCTTGCCCTCTTGCAGCCTTGCAATTCCAGGGTTACCTGCTTCCTCTTTGATTGCCTCGCCCGGATTTATTTCTCAGGGGGTGTCCACCAGCCTTTGGGTTGGCTGTTGTTTGGACTGGAACGAGCTAGCTCTGGAAATGTAAAGCTCATTGTCTCAAGTGTGGCACCTGCTGGTCTCCTCTAGGTTTTCTCTCCACAGAGCCCGAGTGCCTTGTTTTCCCTGTTGGCAGAGGGTGGGAGGAGCGCGAGAGAGTGAAGGCTCCCTTTGTGCTGCTCTGGATTGGCTTCTGTCGCTCTCCCGCTCTCCCTGTCGGGGAGAAGCCAGTGCTGGGCTCACGCTGGGCTCTGAGGGTCACCCATGGCACTCCCGCTGAGACGTGGTCGCTAACCAAAGGGGGCCAGGTGGAACTGGAAACAGTGTCAATCTTGGTATGGAAATTGTCAACACTGTTAATTAGAATCCATTTTTTTGTGACCCTGAGGATCTTTAATTATTTTTCCAAAACCTTAAAACATCTTGTCTGTTGTCCAACAGCTGTATCTTCTGAGCAGAGTGTTTAATGATGTGAGGATTTGGTTCCTGCTGTGGGGGAAGGAACAGGAGCCTGGTGCTGCTGGTTTCCTGAACCTGAAGAGCAGCACAAGCAGCGGCAGGCTCCTCAGTTCAGAATGCATCGGAGGCCGATCGAATGTGTGGTTTTCCAGAAGCCCCTGCTGAAGCAGGAGATACCTACCTGCGCTTTATCTTATCATTTGGAGTCAGACCAACTCTGCTGAATCTCGGATTTACCACTTTCCAGCTATGCGAGCTGGGGCAGTTACTTAGTGTTTCTAAACCTTTATATAAAACTAGAGGCCTGGTGCACGAATTTGTGCATGGGTGGGGTCCCTAGGCCTGGCTGGCAATCATGGTCGATCGGGGCCATCTCTCCCAGTCCCAATCGGGGCCGAGCCAATCAGGGCCTGCCGGCTGGGGGGAAAAGTAGGGGGAGGGACCACAGGAGGTTGACCAGCCGTGGGAGGTTGGCTGTGCGAGTGCACTGACCACCAGGGGGCAGCTCCTGTGTTGAGCGTCTGCCCCCTGGTGGTCAGTGTGCGTCATAGTGACTGGTTGACCGGTTTTTCTGGTCTTTCAGTCGTAACAGTTGCTTAGGCTTTTATATATATAGATGGGCACAGCAATGCCTTCTTCTGAAGTTGGTAAGAATAGTGAATTGACATATCTAAGTTCTTTCTTTTTTTTAAAAAAGAATTTATTGGGGTGACATAGGGCCATAAAACCATATGGGTTTCAAGTGAACAACTCAACAAAACATCATCTGCACACTACATCATGCACCCATGGCCCAAAGCAAAGTCTCTTTTCATCCCCATTTATCTCCCCTTTGTTCACCTCCACCTATCCCCTACCCCCGTGCCCTCTGGCTATCACCACACTGTTGTCTGTGCCTATGGTTTATAAGGTTGTTTTTTGCTTAATCTCTTCACCTTTTTTCATCCAGCCCCCCAAGTACCCTCCCCTCTGATAGCTGTCAGTCTGTTCCATGTATCCAGGCCTCTGTTTCTATGTTGTTCGTTACTTTATTTTGTTCATTACATTCCACATATAAGTGAGATCATATGGAATTTGTCTTTCTATGACTGGCTTATTTCACTTAGCATAATAATTTCCAGGTCCAGAGTATAGAGATCAATAGCTGGAGTTTTTTGCTTATCTATAATAATAAAAGTATAATATGCTAATTAGACTAGACGTCCTTCCGGATGACCTCACAGCTGGGGCTGTGAGGGAAGCCTGGGTCCCGGGTGCCTGCCAGTGGCAGGAGGGAAGCCCAGGTCCTGGGTGCCTGCTGGCAGCCAGAGGGAAGCCCAGGTCCGGGTGCTAGAGGGAAGCCGGTGCCAGCAGCCAGAGGAAGGAAAGCCTACTCTTGCATGAATTTCGTGCATCGGGCCTCTAGTCCCATTATAAAAAGCCACGTTAAGCTACCCAGCTGAAAACACTCAGCCTCAGTTCTGATTCAGTCTAATGCTCATCTCACTATAAGTTAGAAAGTACTTGATTTGGGTCTTTCTTGGGGAGATGGGGTAGGAATGGAGAGAAAGGAAATGTATTTTCCTTCTTAAT